TAGTGACCGGAGTGTAGTTCTGCTCCTACGTGAAAAACTCCCGAAATGACAGAGTATTGGTGCCATTGGCGGTCCTGTCCCTCCGTCCAAGACGGCAATGAGATTTGCCTGCGCAGGTCGAGCGGGGTGCGTCGTTTGGTTCCATCCATCCATCGGGCTACTGTGACTGATAGGATGTCTGGGGCCCATGCCAGGGCGCGTTGGAACATGTGGTTGTACCATGCCGTGCAGGCCTGCTGCAGTGTACGACAGTCCGAGGAAAGAGGCAGCAGCAGCGGCGTAAGGCCGTCATCCTCGCTTTCTGGGAGTCCATTAATGCGACCCTCCCAACGCACGGGTTGTAGGGTCCCTGTGTTATGCTCTAGCAGGCTTGTGACAAATTCGGAGGCGTCATGTTGGCGGCCATCGAATCGCCATCTAGGCACTAGTGACCGAAGGGCAAAAAGGCTCGGAGGGTTTATGGGCCTTGTGTCCATTGGATCCGCCTCCGAACTGATGCAATGTTCGACCAGTGGTCCCAGTTCCGCTACATTGGACACATGATTGCTTGCGGCTAGTAGGGCTTGTATGGTCGCATTGACATAGCAGGTGTTGCCTGAGTTTACCATGTGCCTCATGCGAGAGTACAGGCCTGGTGGGAGAGTTCCACTGGCGGCGCTCGTTGTCGCCGTGGCGACCGGGGTAGATGCTGCGGTCCCGAAAAAGCCACTGAGGGACATTGTCACCGCGGTCTTTGGTTGAGGCCTGGAACATTGTTCCCGCATCGTGTCCGTTCCCTGCACCTTGTGCCACCCAAGCAGGACTTGAAACAGAACTATGCACTGTTCTGGGTGCTTACGTTTGTCATAAACCGGCAGCTTGCAGAAGGGGCAGGGGTGCCCTTTGATCATCTGCACTGTATACGCCTGGCAGAGCTGGAGTGCCGCCGGACCGTCTCGCTGCCAGTCCTGTGCATGAGCCTGACGTTGATGATTCTTCATCTTCGTATGGTCTGGGGTCCAGAAACCGCACAGAATGCACCTGTGCTTGAGTTCTTGAGCTTCCGGCCGGGCAGCGATGATGCTAAGTTGATCTCTTCGCGAGCTTTGCACCGTGGCCCGAAGGGCCGCCAGGCTTCTGAGGGCTTGACCTTGCAGTTGTTCCTCAGTGGTGAGAGATAGCTGACGCAGTCGATCGGGTTGCGTACAGGCTCCCGATAACAGATGGTCACGCAAGCCCTTCCATTGATGGAAAGCCTTGTTGCATGCGGAACATACTGGTAATCCGTCCTTAGAGTGCCGACTTCGATCAAAGGAGGGAGGAATGTACCTCTGTACGTGTTCGCGATGCATCCTTGTAATGTGCATATGTAAGCCATGGGCAGAGGCGAAGCCAGATTCGCAGTGAGGGCAGGTGTGTAGCCGCTGCTGCGAGGCCTCGGTGCTCGCCGAAAGGTTTGCCACCTCTTGTAGCATGTCTTGTAAGTCCTGTATGACATGGCTTAGGCGCGTGACATCACCCTGCACAGCTGTTGCAGAAAGGTGTGGGCCTGTAGCCGAGTCCGACGCTGAGGAGCGCAGCCTGGCCCATGGGCCATGCTGCACCGTAGGTGCACTGGGAGTGCTCTCCGGCTGGGCGGAAGTGGCGGCCTTGGGGGTTAGGATGTCGGTTCGTTTGCACAGCCGTCTGAGTCTGGAAGCCATCCGAGCTTGGATTTTAGCTACCGGGTCCTGAATCGAATATAGCTGGTACAGGTCAGCTGTTGAGATGTGGCTTACGTGGACAGGCTGATTTTGCACGGATCGTAGCTTGTGCGCGTACCAACCTCTGAGATGCCTGGCTGTCTCCTCCGTGAGGCCGACTTCGGGAAGGCCCGTGACCAAGGTAGCCCATACAGTAGTGAACCAGACCTTCAGTCTGGCCATTGGCCCCGCGGTTCTGCGGTTGTAAACAAAACGCTTAACCTGCTGGAGCTTTTTGGCCGCTTCCGCTATACGGAATCGCAACGTCTGCATTTCAAAATTCCCATAGGAAATTTGAATGCCCAAGTACTTGAGTTGCGTCTCAAGCTTGTAGGCGGGGAAGGACTTGTGTTTGCCCAGTCTCCAGTGCCTCTGGAGTTTTCCGTCCTGGTCAGGGAGCCAGCAGGTGTGCTTCTGGAGCGTGGCCTCGGCCTCTCTGCCGCTGAGCTTGACGAGAATGGCACATTTGGTCGGGTTGACTCGCAGGCCTAGTTTCGCTACCTCCGACAAAAGCTCAAGGATCATCTTGTGAGCTGCGTCCACGTCCGCTTTGTTGCGGATGGTGCGATGCATGGTGAAGTCATCCGCGTACCCTGTGAAGTATTTGCGGACATTGTCCCAGCCAAATGTGCCTATCAGCCTGTGCAGGAGGCGGCCTGTGAGCACTGAAAACAACGTGGGGGCCAGCTTGCAGCCTTGTTTGATGCCCGTGGTAGTTTCCACATCCTTGTATGCCCCTTGAGAATGGAGCCTGTACTTGGATCGATGATGTAGGCCGTGTATCAGTTTTTGCAGGGGTGGATCCGCGCCTAGTTCATCTAGCAGAGACAAGATTTCGCTACGGGAGACAGTATCGAATGCCTGTGACAGGTCAAGTGCAAAGGTGATGCCTCCGACGAGACCGACAGGACATTGTCCCCGCTGCTGATCCGCTCTGGTGAGGTTCGCATTGCGACACAGCTGCCTAGCTTCCCTCAGGTGTTGTACCACTCTGCTCTGAGCATCAGAGAGGCCGCGCCCTGGGAGGTACGCAAACTGAGGAAGAGGCTTCATGTACGGCAGCGTGAGAGGTTCCAGGAGTTCTTTTGCCGTGCCCGCCAGTCCTTTAGCGTCCGGCCGGAGTATGCCCAGCGGCCTTAGCTGAGAAGGCTTGTCAGCCGGCTTGCCCGGTTTGGGGATCAAGCATAGATCCGCGCGAGTCAGATCATCGTCGAGTGACTGGTCTTGCGCCAGGCCTGAACAGTATTGTGAAAGCGCCTCTGATACCGGCTGAGCGCAGAGCTTCCAGGCTGCGGCCGGCGCTGCCCCTTTCGGAACTGCCTTGCCAGGTTTAATTGAAGCAATATGTTTTGCCAACTTGGTATGTGGCAGAGGAGGCAGAAGCCCCGAGTCTGAAGGAAGCGGTGGGTGTGCTGCAAATACCTGGGTGGCGGACTTTCCCAGCTCCGCAAGTTCATTTGCCGGGCTGAGCAGGAAGCCATTCGAATCCTTAAGCTGAGCCTTCAGAGCCGGTTTCCACGGTCTAAGGTGCTTGAGAGTTTGATAGGCCAGGTGTTGATCTCCCTGTTTGAGAGCCTGGTCCACCTCAGCAAGGAATCGCTTGGTTTGGTCTTTGCGTGACTGCTTAACCGCCAGTTTATGCTGGTCATGCAGCAACCGGCAGGCATCAGCGGCTGTAGCAGATTCAGCACCGGAATGAGCATTGCTCCCTCGCGCAGATCGCCACATTCTTCTGGCAATACGCGTCTCCGGACTATCTGGCATTGCCACCGGGGTCTTAGGGAAGAACCTAGATGTGGCTTCGCCAAGGAGGCGATCCCAAGACGCCGGCTGCATGTCCGGGGTTAGACGTGTTTTGACCCACGCGAGCATTTGCTGAGCTGGCAGCGTGTTGTCCCTAACAGCCGCTTGCAGGGCAGCGGCGTCGAACTGATGTGTCTGTATCTGAGGAGGCGGCAGATTCCAGTGCCTTACTGGCTTGACAGTCGCACTGATGGGCAGGTGCCCACTTTTCTTCCAGCTGCCCAGCGGAAAATCCGCCAGTGGTGTGGAGGCCTTGGCAGTGCCTCCAGCTGACACCTCTCTCGTAAGCACAAAATCTATTTGAGTGCGCGTGTCCCCTTGTTGAAACGTAAATGTCGGCTGAGGTCGCCACGTGTTGAGAGCCACCAAGCGGTGATTTAGCAAAAAGTTTGTTAGCTCTGGTTCATCGGGTCGCAGTTCCTGTGGACTGATGAGCCCGGGACCAACCAGCCTGGGCTGCTTTTGCAAGGAGCTGTTGAAATCACCTGCTATGATGAGCGTGTCTCTGTGGGGCACGCGTTGCACACATCTGCCAAGAGCCTTCAGGACCTGTGCCCTGTCCTGACGATTGGCCTGCACCTGCTTGGCCGGTGACCATACGTGTTGATACACGGCAATCAGGTGGATGCGGGCCCCGTGCCAGTCAAACCTGACTTCCAGGGCTCTGCCTATGACGTGCTCCTGCCAACGCACACCTTTGGGGAGAATGTGTGGGGACAGGAAGACCATAACCCCGTCCGCACGAGTCGTCGAGGGCTCCTTTCGGGGCGGATTGGGTTTGACGTCATTAGGCATTGCCTCTTCAGGTAGCTGTTTGTGGCCTTTGCCCCCGCGTTGCTTTCGTCTAGAGGCCTTCGGATCTGCAGCAGAGGCAGACGAAATGCAGTACCAGCCTGCAACACTAAATTCGGCCGTAGCCTGCCAGTGGGTCTCCTGCAGCACAAAGACATCACAGGTGTGACGTGCCTCAGTGGAGAGCCATGATTTGACTTCCGACCATTGTTGCTGGCCTAAATGGCCTGCATTCCAAGACAGTACTCGGAGAGGCCTGGTGGCCTGTCCTGCTCTAGATCGGGGTGCAAAGGACTGTGTGGAACCTGGCCGCGGTGGGCAATTGCCCATGCGCCTTAGAAGAGCTGGGGTCAGAACCTGACCTCGGTAGGAAACGGGCTGCTGGTTTGCAACCACCTTGCGGCAAACATGCTTGAAAGAATTCTTCCTGATCTGAGAATAATTTTGTGAGTGCACTGGGAGCAGCGCCATCCGCTATTTCGTCACAAGGCTAGCCGAGTGACTCCCTCCACCACGCGGCTAGTGGAAACCCTACCGCCTGCCCAGTGGGCCCGTGTTGAGACAGGGTACTGGGTCCAGGAATTGGGACCTGGCGGCTCAGACGCAAACTGTTGGCACATGGCACATGGCTCAGCGGGAGGAAACCAACCCTTAGTCGTTCGGAGAGAGGCCTGTTTGAGACCTCTAGCAACGCAAGGTTGGAGTCCGGAGCCTGTTCGAAAGCCAGCGCGAAACTTCCAAAACGTCTGAGCCGTGGCGGCTTACTAGCACTACTATACTACTACTACTCCTCCTCCTCCTCCTCCTCCTCCTCCTCCTCCTCCTCCTCCTCCTCCTCCTCCTCCTCCTCCTCCTCCTCCTCCTCCTGCTGCTGCTGCTGCTGCTGCTGCTGCTGCTGCTGCCAAAAAAAGCAAAAGAACAATCGCAGAATGTACCTGCCTTGTCTTGAAGCTTCTTTGCCTGCTGCCAATATGAGTCAGCTTCATATTCCATGAAGATTGAATCTGTTCTTGGCCTGCGTGGTATGCTTTTGCTGCTGCTCTTTCGTCGCCTTGCAAGCTTGGAGGCGGAAGTCCACAAAACAACCCTAACACAAAAGCCCCGATGTGGCCTCAGCAATCTTTGTCGTGACACTCTGAAGCAGAAGCTCGAAGGCGTGCTTCTTGGACATCTCTTCCTGTGCGACGCATGGGGCCATTGAGCTTCCACGATTGGTTCTGAACTGATAGGCCACCTTTTCGAGCTGCAGACGTTCGTCCACAAACTGCTCTTCGAGCTTCTCCAGCATCTTGATGATACCTCGAAAATCTCATATCTCGCTTCTGTAAAGCTCACGCCCGACTAATGCTGCGCTCGATGCAGCCAGGAATCCTCCAGACTTGAACTGATCCGGTGCTTGCAAGTCACTCAAGAGGCTATCCTGCGGGTTCTGCGAACGAGTGTCCGATTTTGAGAAAGAATGGGATGTTTGCCTCAATCACGTGGTGTTCAACATCCAACTCACGTCTAGCACCCACTCGGGACATCGAACAGGGTCCACGGCTATAGAACTTTTCCACCGAGATTTGACACAAGCAAAAGCTTCCCAAGATATGTTGCAAACGTCTCCCGAAACTAGGGTGTTGAAGTCTTTGCATTTAGCACGTAGTTGCACGCACTCTCGGCCTACTTTTACGACCGTGGACAAGGATCACTTCTGTTGGCTGGGTATGTAACATACTTTACCATACACTTTGTTGTGTATATAGATAACCTATGATCTTCTATACACTTTGAGGGCACAGGGGGCGTGGGCACGCATTGGCGGCCTTTAAATATTCTTGGGTGGTGGGGGTGTAGAGGCGGTGGGGGCGCAGGGGGTTGTGGGCACGCATTGGCAGCCTTTAAATACTCTCTAGACCCCAAGAAGTGTGGCTGGTGGGGGTGGTGGGGTGGTAGGGGCTGTGGGGGTGCGGGGGGTGTAGGCACGCATTGGTAGCCTTTTTTTTACTCTCTGGACCCAGTGTGAGGCGGTGGGGGCGCGGGGGCGTGTGGGCACACATTGGCAGCCTCTAAATACTCTCTGCTCTCTACACCCCTAAGTAGTGTGGGTGGGGGGCGGTGACGTAATCATATGTATGAGGACCGAGACAAGCCGCAGAATGACGGAAGGAGCTGTCCTCGAAGCCCTCGGAGAGCAGGGAATTCAGGCCTTTGCTGGCCTTGTCCGGCAGCTTCAAGGCATTCAGCTGAATGAGGGAGCCCTCCTTGCAAAGCAACAGAGGGGCTCATGCTCACTTCGGCTCGGTCTCCCTGACTGTCCTGTGCTTTCCCCGACTTGAGCTCTTTCGTTGCTCTGCCGATGGCGTCGATCGACTCCGACAGGTCCTGCACAAAAGCGAGTGGTTTTTGGGTCGGCCCCTGGTTCAGGGCCTCAGGGCTTTCAGGGCTTTGGTTCTCTGCGGTTTAGAGATCCGGACTTGTGGTGTTGTGGGTGGCTCAGGATGAGAGGCTTCCTTCTTCCCCCGAAGCTCTCCTGGAACATCGCTTGGAAATCTTTCCCCTCCGTCTCCCGCATTTTCGACGCCTCCTGGAGTTCAGGTGCTGCCAGATTCATCTTGGGTCTTCCGGCTTCAGTGTTTCAGGGTTGTAGGGCTTTGGGACTTGCGGGCCTTAGGGGCTGTAGTGGATTCGGGCTTTGGGGTGTTAGGGTTTCAGGTCATGGGTTTGGGAATTTAGGCTTGGGGCTTAGGGTTCCGAGTAAGAGATGCCAGTCCTCCTTCTCTGCTTTCGCACCCTCTATGTCTGCAACATGAGCTGCGACTTCTTCACCAAGCCTACACACAGGATGTGAGACTTCCGATAACTCTGAGGAAAGCTGCGGCATCTTTGTGGCCTGGTGGCATCGGATCCACTCTTCTCCATTTCTGCAGTGAGGACCTCAGGCGAATCTCTTCCGTTATTGCACATAGCACGGGAAACCACAACAAGCGCCTCTATCTTCTCGGTCCCTTCTTCGATCGAGCGCTGCGTTTCTCTCTCGGTGACTTCGCAGAACTGCCTTCATTCGTCGTTCATTGCGCACAATGTATGAACAGGTCCAAACAGAAAAGAGAGGAGAGAGCCAAAGGACCACGACCCTGCCAAGGTGCTTGTATGCTGCATACTGAACTTCCTCGTCCTGCTTGTCCTGAGAACCGCAGCATCCGTACATCCCACTCTGCACTCCTGGACCGTGGACCTGCTGCTCCCCTCTAAGGACGCATCCTTCTCGCCTTGCGTCTTCATATCCTGCAGCATCTCCAAGACCTTCCCCCTGGAGTCACTCCGAGACTTCCGGGCAGCTCTCGAAAATCGCTGAAAAATGTCTCGAGCTCCCTACACCGGAGTGGCACTCAGCGCCCCGGCAGCGGCAGCCGCGGCTGCCGCTGCGCCGGTGGCCTGGCCGAAGGCGGCGGCCAGGAACACGCGCATGGCCTCGGCAACAGAAACATGTATGATACATCGTTTAAAGTACATCTTATATATACATTGGTATATAAATTATGAGATATGCTTCTAATAAAGAGATGTTATATAATATACAACACATTACACATGTTGGCCACTGCGCTTACCCTGGGTCTGCTTCGCCAGGGCCCCCGGCTGCGCGCTTCATTGCAATGGACTTCGGCTTTAAAACCTTAGGGCCTTTGCCTGGCTCAAGCCGAAGTGTCTGCACAAGCCTGCAAGTTCAGGAAGAAGGCTTCGGCAGTACGGTGGTGAAGGGATGTGCAGGAAGCTTCGATCACCACATGAGAAACCTATTTTGCCTATTGCCAACGGAGAAAGCATCACTCTTGTGTGAGACTGGGGCTCACCGGCGCACCGCGCAAGAACGGACATGTACTGAGCTGCTGTCTGCTCTACACTCTGAAACTCCGAGTGCCGAGTGAGCCAAGTGAAACTTTCGTGAATGTATCACTGCAAGAGACCGGCCAACACCTGCTCGCGGCAGCTGCTGGTAAATATCGCGTGTTTGTCTGGGCGGCACCTTGCCGACCGTGTACACGAAGAAGCCCAGAATGGCAGGCAGAAGTGCCGGCTGCAGGTGCAGCTCGGCGATTTCCGGGACCTCCAGCACGCACTCAGAGATGACAAAAGGCCGGCCGACCGCAGTCAAAGCGGGCCTGCGCTTCTATCCGCGGCCACCCCTGCACGATGAGGAGGACGATGACCGGGGTCTGAGCAACGGTGCACGTGTCGCAGTATTTCGCTCTGCTCCAGGGCACCTGCAGCCAACGCCTCTCGCACCTTTTGTTCTGCCCGCTGCCCTCTGTCGCGAACGTGCCGGTATCTACTCTAGCTCGAAGTCTGCATACAGTGGCAGGTGGTCCGACGGATGTTCCTGGAAGGCTGCAGCATCTCTTGAATCCAAGAACCATGCGAGCTGCTTGCGAATAACGACAACCTTTACTTGCTTGGAAGCCCAAGTAAGCCCCACGACAAGCGCAGGATATGCAGGCAATGCAGGTTGTCGATGACTTGGGATCAGCCGCTGGTGTTTGGCCAAGAAATCTTCTTCTTGAGAAGCTCGGGCAGACCCGCTTTGGCTGGCCGCTTGCAGTCTTGATTTCTGCTAACCATCCCAAGCCCCGACCAGAGGACTGCAGCTATCTCAGATCACGGCAGCGCATCCCATCTCATCCCTTGTCATCCCTCTCAACTCATCTCACGTCATCTCGTTTCACCAAACACTTCATCTCAGCATGATGCTACAGGCCTGATATGCGGCTGTTTCGCTTCGGCACCACATTCGCTTTGTCGAAGTGGTCAAGTATTTGGGAGTGGCAGCTTCCAATGGGAGCAGGTTCGCAAGTTCAGTGTGAAAGTGCGTCTTGGTGGTCGGCACTCATCGGCAAATGCACTAAGAGGGGTGGCGGCAAGTATTTGCTATCTGTTCGCATTAGAGACTTGCAGTGCGCATTTATCGATGGCACAGCCATGACGGCCAGCATCGTCTGTCCGTTTATAGGCGCTGCGGACGGAGGTTGCATCGCACAGGACACATAGTGGAGGTGGTACACATACATGTGGCAAACAATCTGACGGCACCCGAGCCTCCGATGGCAGCTGCTCCGGCAACTGCTCCGGCAAAGGACGCACGCCCCGCAACTGTAGACCCGCACCTGGAGGCATGAACGAAGCATGGCGAAGCCGCAACACAAATCATGGACAAAGTACAGCTACTGAAGGAAACGAACACACTGAGAACAGCACCTCGGTAAAGGATGTAGTCGAGGCAGCCATGAAAATCCTTTGTCAGGTTCGTGACTGCCTGTTCGCAGCCTCAGAGAAAGCGATCGCAGCCGAAGATGACAGAGAGAGATTGGTCCTAATCATAGATTCTTCTGTGGTTCTGATACAGTTTTCCCAACGCTGAATTGGTGCTATAACTTGAACAACCCCCTGTTGAAGATCAGCAGCCAAGGGCTTCTTTGTAGGCGCTGTGAAAGGGTGATACTCGAAGATCCGGCACGTCCTGCTCACATCGGGGGCATCCAAGTCTCAACCCTGGTGATAAATGCTACCAGTAGCTGCTAGCACGGCTCGCGCTCGCACCTTGGTGCCGACGCCACGAAGGATTCCGCTCCCAGGTCTCATCCGCACTGGATGATGTGGATGCGAGGCAGACACTCCGCCTCCGATCATCAGCGACCGCGGCCCACAAAACCCGACACCCAAGCGGTCGGTGCAGAGACGTTTGCAACTGCCGGCCTGTCACCAGAAGCTCGTAGACGCCGGACAAGTCTCCCTCGCCCGAGCTGCGACCATCTGCCAAAGGAGTGCCTTGGCTCAACGATTCTGGCTCCACGAATTTTTACATCACAGCTACCAGTCTACCGTTCCAGCACGGGACTGTTCAGATCTCCGGCCAGGATGAGATCCGTGGCCGCCACTGTTTCGAGCTCACGCGCCAGGAGGAACGCCTCAGCTGTCATCGCAAGCACGACTGCTGAGGCTGCACGCCCAGGAACCACCACGGCCTTCTTTGGAAACTGTCTTAAGGCTTTTCGGTTCGGACTGCTGAAACCTGGTCCCAAGGGGTTCCTCACATCGGTGCGGAAATATGTGCCACTGAAGATGGCGGAGACAACTCACAAATGCTTCCATGGAGCTTGCAGCAGCTTCAAGTCCGGATATCGCGGGTCCCAGTACAGGTGACTGGTTGAGATCTCGGCGACAAGGGAGCAAAAAAGCACAACAGGGACAAACGCCAAGTCTGGATGCAGAATGCAGACCGAGCGACACAGAGCTTCCTGACAGGTGCAAACAGCGTAGATTCTGTTGACCTCCCTCCAGTCACCTCTCGTTGCCTGCCGGACGTCTCCGCAGCAATTTCCACGGCCTCGGCCGGCCGAATCACCCAATGAGCAGAAGCGAGAGTCGCAGTATCACACAAGAGTGCACCTGAGTGAAGAACGACAGCCACGCTCAGCTTCTCGTGCAGCTCGCGCCACAAGGCCTGAATTTTTTCAAGGTTCTTTCAGACCAAAGGGTTGCACACAAACTGGGACTTCTGGGCACTTGCAAGCGGGCCACAGCTGCAAGGCCGGCAGTGCCACGGATGTCGAGGGAAGCTGGAAAATGCCTCGCGGATCACCGAGCTTCCGAAGGTTGCAAGCAGCCCGGCGGGCCGAGCCTCTCGGCTGCATCCCGAATTCGGAAGGAATGGGTCTTTGTCACCACCAGATCCGAGCGAAGGAAGATGGCACAGCCGTCCTGCAGAGAGCAGAGGGCCCTGAAGACTCAGACATGGAACTTGCGAGGCACCTTTGGTGGCAGATCCTCGTTCTGCAAAATCACGGCCTCAGCTCAATGCCGTGCCGTGCTGGATGCCAATCGTCACCAAGTGCCACCAGGCTGCGCAGCGGTAGCCCTGCAGATACCTTTCAAAGGTCTCCTTTGCTGCAGGGTCGAACTCCTGAGCACAGCTGGAAGCAAACGCTCGAGAAGCCCCTCGAAACACGGAATTGCCACAGGCACGGCCACCTGCAAGCAGGCGATGTCCGGTGCCAGTCGTGAGACCAGCTCTGCAGCTCTCTGCAAACCTCACGGTCCGGTTTTTGGTTTTGGTGGCGAAAACTGCGAAATCCTCCGTCTCACGGCGAGGGGCGGTCGGCCCAGAAGCTCTGCGCAGGAGGAGACTGTCTGCTTCGAAGCCTCAAACAAAGGGGTACCAACTCTGGTTCTAGTCACTGGTCTCATTACTAGAAAGGGTGCCCGGGTGCAGCAACCTAGGCGTTAATACGTACCCTGGAGGAGCCCTGCTCGCAGATGCCGTCCGGGCCTTTTGGCTGCAGCGCTGTGCAAGACGTTGTAGCTGAGCACCGAAAACCGCATGGCATGGGAGGCCGCATTTCCCTCATGCTCTACGAAGAGATGCGCGATGCGCACATGGGCTCCCAAGTGCTCCTACGCAGCATAGGGTGAATCGCAGGGCACCAGATGCAGACCCAAAATGCTCTCCGTCCACTGAAGGCTTACTTGGCAAGGAGTACTGTGAACCCGCTTGGTATCCGCTGCCCACTCTCGAGGCGCACAGGTCCACTCCAATCGGCTGCAGCATCGACGGAGATCGTGAGGTTGTCAGAACTTGTGTGGGGTTCGAAAGAAAAAATCCAGGCCCCCTATCAGCTAAAACTCAGAAAGTTGGGCTTCAGGGAGTTCCCTGCCGTACATTTGTATACCGACAACTAAAGATTTCCGAGTTAGCACTAGATATCCTATACTCAGCATTATTCACGGACATCTGCCGGTCAGAGAAACGATACTCAACATTGTGGCTCACGAGCAACTTCGAAGCAGGATGGGCCGGGAGAAACAGAAAGGTCCCGAGTTATGCTAGGATATTTGGTGACTCTGAACCCTGTGTTGCAATGCCGAGGCGGGCGCCAACAGCCGCCTCGCACCCAAAGCAGAGCCTGGCCATCTCTCCCGTTCCGTCAAACATCTTCAAAATCCTCGATGCGGCCGTGCTGCCCATTGGGTTCTCGGCATTGTCCGTGTAGGACGCCAGCCCCTTCAAAGCAGAAGTAACTTCGAAGCTTTGGAGCCGAGCCCTCGAATTTTAGGACCGCGGCTGAGAGGTAGAGGAGCCCGCCAATGGCCCCGAGGCCTCGCAGGGTCCCCGGAAAAGAAGGCCCGTACTTTCTGAAAGCAGCTCAGGCCCCTCGCCGAAACTGAAGGCAATGCTCACACCATACCTTCGACTCGCAACGGGGGCCGGAAGAGCAGGCAGCAGAAAGCGCATCACAGCCATACTTAGACGGAAGGGCAAGGAGAACAAGCGAAGGATTCCAAGCATCGAGCTTTGGACACATCAAGAATCATGGCAACTCGAAATGGCGGGCTTGAGTCAGGTGTTCCGACATCTAAGATCTTTAGACTAAGAACCAAACAGAGGCTTCAGGATTTCGGGTTTGGGGTCTGGCATGTCAGACGATCGACCGCGAGTTCAAGACGAGGCTCTGCACAAACAAGTTCGACCAGAAGAATCACTCGACACTGCGCCCTGCAGCATTGAATTGTTCACACTTTCCCACAGGAGGGATTGTAATTGTATCTGGCTGGCGTCATCAGACACGAAAACAAAACAAGTTGATAAGCCGGCTATGCTCCCGCACAACCGCGGCAGAATGATCAGATTTCTATGTGTCTGCATACCTCTTCCTGAATCACCTAAGCAGGCCTCCGACGTGCAGGATGTAACTTTGACAAGCATGGCTGTCCGTGACAGGACGCAAATCTGCGCAAACCTATTTCAAGCTCTGGGACTGTTCGATATCGACACGGACGATGCAGGTATCACAATGTCTCCTTGCTCCAGCGCATGCCGAGGAAGGTAAGATTCTGGCGCGGCATAGGCGTACACAAAGCCGACGCCACTCAACCTCTACAGCGCCCAATTCGGAATGATACCGGCAGCAGAACCACGGTAAAAATTGAGCTCCCAGCGCTGCGGTGATTCCAAACATCCGCACCTCGGGGCTCCACAAATGGAAAGAGGAGCTCAACTAAGTGAAACATCCGGCGAGCCTTCGTGGCCTCATAGTCCTGACAGGCTTGTGGGTGATTGCTCGGACTTGCGCTTGCCGTCCCTCTCTCGGTCCTTCTTTCTGTCTTCTGGACCTTAGAGCCCAAAGCCCGGGTGATGCGGTCACTGAGAGCTACGGGCTTGAGATCTAGGGATCCGGCTCCTCCTCACAATCGTCTTCTTCAACCTCAGCAGAAGATCACAAGGCCAACTTTCGTCTTGTGCCTTCTGAGGGCCGTCTGAGGTATTGGCCACTTCTTGTTGTCCTTACGCTTCTGCAAACTTCGTTTCTGGAGGATGGCGAGGTAGTCAGCCACTCCTGGGGCCAGACAGGCTTCTCGCAGGCGAGAAAGGGCAGAACAGAGTGCCCGTGCCTTCATCCTCTCCTTCATCCTCTGCTTCCTGCATCAGAAGCTTCTGATCGCTCTACGAGCAGCGGCTATCTTGAGCACAAAGCCGGTGCCTCAGCTGCCGCTTCGCTGTGGGCAGCGCGCGGAGCGGCCCGGGCCGGGGCGTTTGCGAGACTCGGAAAGAAGTTCTCGCTGGATTCGTGCAGCGTTAGTCCGTCGAGGCCCCAAGGCCGGGGCAGCTCGTCAATGCTTCTTCCGATCTCCAGGTTGCCGCCGGCACCTGAAAGACAAACCAGCACTGAAAGTGAAGATTTCTGCAGAGACATGTCAGACAGACAAAGAAAACACTAGCAACAACAACCCGTGACGACTGCGACGGCTACTGCCACTGCTACATGTCAATTCGGCTTCCCGGGCTGGCATTCGCTGATATCCGCAGCTTCTACATCTTCTACTAGTCTTAGAAGATTCAGCCAGCTTGTGCCTCGGCTGAAGGCTGAACAAGTTGCCGTGCTCTTGGGCTCCGGGCTTGGCGTCTCCTTCTTCTTGGGAGCTGGGGCTTCTCGTGGCAGCTCCAGCCTCCGATAAAGCAGATCCAATCCTGAAACGACTCCAAACCAAGGCTCCGAGTGCTCGGTCTTCGGCTTCTCCAACGCCTGACGAGGACGGGAACAGCGTCGCCTACGACGGCTGGTGAAAGCCGGAGCGCGCACCCCGTCGTAGCGCCGCTTCAAAACCTGCAGGACGGAATCGTCCCGACTCTCAGACCCAAGACTGCTCCAGATGGTGCCATAAAGTGCCTCTGCATCGGGACTTTCTTTTTCGAACTTCTTGCGGTCTGTCTCCTGATCAATGTACCTGATTTCGCTGCTGCCGTCACGAACTGCTGCAGCGCATGCGGCATGGCAGACACCGACGTAGGCAGAAGCAACCAAAGCGATGGCTGTTGCCTTCTTACACTTGCAGGTGGGACACCACATGGCAGACAAGGCGAGGTTCTTCGCATTTTCGGTCGAGACGGTGATGAGGTTGTCGGGCTGTGCCGGGCTCGAACATGTGCGCATGCACAAACTGCATTTCACATGACGGAACAGAGTGACTCCCGATAGTCCTATAGACCACATCTTGCAGCAAGGACTGCTTGCTGCTTGACCTGGCCTCGTCGCCCTCTTTAGCACTGATCGCCTTCAAACGATCCCGCATCTTCCTCGATTTGGAGTGTATGGAGGGATGCAGCATGCTACCGACCCGTGGCCAAACTCAGGACTTGGCAACGTGAAGCCGTCGTCTCCAGGCTCGAGTTTTCGCGGCTGGCATGAGACAGAGGTGCCAGGAGGCGAGTATTAGGGAGCAGGAATGGAGGAGGAGGAACAATTAGTCGTAGCCGTAGCAGCACCTGCGCGGCAGAAGTACATGCGATTGTGATCGCAGCTTTAGGCACAATCTGCGCCTAGATGAATTTCCTGGGACCTGAGGACGTCCACTTCACGAAGCTTATCGATGATCGATGGCGTGTGCTTGCTCCTACTTTATTGCTCCTCTCTGCTTCTCCGTCTCACGATGTGCATCTGCACACTGCACACATGTACTCCGACAGCACCATCATGAAGCTGATACTAAAACAGCTCCCGCTCACAAGCGCGTGCAGCTGTGGCAATAACTCTCATGCCGGATGTGCTGGCTTCTTCTGCGGCATCTTGAACACGAGAGGCTTCCAGGGCTCCTCTCACAGGCTAAGGCGCCAAAACTGAGTCACGAGACAAGCCCGAGCTGGGCGATTCTGCGGCCTGTGCTGTTGCCTTCTTGGGTCCAGCCTGTCGGGGCGGGCAGCAGGATGTGAGCAATGTGGGCTTGATCCTTGAAAGCTTCAATGCACCTGGCCTGGGCCTGTAATACGGTTGCCGGCCTGCAGAAGAGAGCTCGCCAGAGGTAATGAAAACCACGGACAGGCGCGCTGCAGCTGAGGGCCCTACCTCCTCCCCAGTGCAGCACGCACATTCGTGAAGGCCGTCGAGACGAGAAGTGTGCTCATGCAGCAGGCTACCAGAAGGCCTCAGAGCTGCAGATCGCTATGAGATACAAACAAGCTTAGCTCGACAGCCTTCTCTGCACTCGACACTCTTTCTCATGACCCGCAGCTCATGCTGCCGAAAACAAGCACGCAGAGAAGTCGACACAGTGCAGCTCCCAAGCTACTGTCAGGCTCACTACTCCTCGTCGTACCTTGGATCTGCTGGCATTCACTCCAGACGTAAACATGGACCACATGTCAAGAAATGAAAAACACTCTGAGTTTTGCATCGGTGCTGTGGGCTAATGCCGACACGACGGATGGCCTTTTCAGCCGCCCTCTTTGCATCCGAGCTGATGGAGTCTTTCGCCAGCTTGTAGGCTTTTTCGGCCTCATCTCGGGCAGCCGCCGGCTCCTTCTTCCTGGAAACCCCCGGAGGGCTCAGGGGCTTAAGGGTCAGGGGCTTAGGGGTTTAGGAATTTCTGCTTGAGGGCCCCTTGGGTCTTAGGTCTCCACCACAGCTTTACAGATGGCGGACTCTGAGTCCTGAAGTGCAGCTCCGAGCTGAGGGACAAAGCTTTCGCCCCCTGGGAGGGCTTGGAGTTTGCGGTTTCGGGTTCAGGGCTCAGGGTTTAGGGTTTAGGATTTAGGGTTTAGGATTTAGGGTTTAGGGTTTCGGGTTTAGGATTTAGGGTTTAAAGCTTAGGGTTCAGCGGTTAGGGTTTAGGGTCATTATTCACTTGCATGCCATGCCTTAACCGAAGCAGAGGAATCTTTGTGAAACTGACAGACGATCGAGCTAGACGATGTCAGGTACATACATACATACATACATACATATGCACGTACATGCCTACATGCAGGCATGCATACAAACATCTGTACCTACCTGCATACATACGTACAAATCATGCACGCACACATCTGTGCCGGTGTGTGTTATTTTGCTGCCAAGCGGCTGTGGCCATTCTGTTTGCTGGTACATTAACTTATCGGTATGTACTTCCACTCCATACCCGAATACCACAAGCCCTAATCCGCACAGCCTTCAAACCCACACAACCCTGAAAGCCCACAACCATAAAACCACATAAAACTCCAAACTCTTCTGCTTCGGAAGCGCTGTGGTCTTGTCCCCAATCCGCTCGCTGAGCGAAGCAGCCTCGGCTGTGGCAGCCAGCGCCTGGTCCCACTTGCCCACGCCTGGGCTCAGGTTTGGGGAGACTGAGAGTGTTGAGGGCTCAGGGTTTGGGGAGACCCTACACAACCCTCAAGGGCCCTTTTGTTGAACTTAACAGTGTCTGGCGGCTCGCTTCGACCTCGGCGACCACGAAGAGGCTCTTCGCAATGACTGCCTCTGCCGATTGACGCAGTGTGTTCGACCCATGCTGGAGGCTCTGGACCCAACATGATCAAAGACCCCCTTATCCATCAGTAAAGACGAAGTCGTAGCACGTTCTCCTATTGAATCAATTCCATTTGGGAGCTGCTAGATTGTGAAGATTATGCCTTTGTGGCAGGGACTTGAACAGGAATGCAGGTCGACATGGCATTTGCAGGCTTCCTTGTCCTGCAGCCTGCGAGCCAAGAGAACACCGTCTTTCGCAGGAGTCATGACCTTGCTCAAGCTCCGGAAAACAATCCTTGGCTTGCTGGACAGGATGTGCTGCCGATAAGAGGCAGGCACGAAGGCGCAAAGCAGAGGGAGCTTCGTAGCAGGGATCAGAATCGCAAGACGCTGCCAAGTGTCTTCTGAGCCTCCTTCTCCTGCAATCCTTCCAGCAGCTTACCAACGACTTGCGCCTGCATCTGAGCTTCCCAGCTGAACATCTCCGTCAGCGCATATCTGTCGCCAGCCTCATAATGTTGATAGGGAGAAGACGGGAATTATCTGGTAGGTGGGTAATGGCACCCCGCAACCTGGAAAGCATCATGGAACCCGGCCTTCTTGCAAAAGACAACTGCTTCGCTCGCATTTCTTGCAGCCTCCTCGGGCTTGTCCTGCTCGCAGCAGGAGTTTCCCACCTTTTTCACAGCCTTGGCGACCTGCTTCGGCTCACCAGCTTGCCGGAACATCTGCTCGCCCTTGCGAGCTTCCGCTTCCGCCTCTTCCGGCTCTTGTCGTGAAAGGTAGATGTCGGACAACGCCAGATGAGCACTCGCCATTCCAATCTCATCCCCAACGTCACTGAATGCGGTCATCGCATCATTTGCCAATTGGAACGCATCCCGGTTGAATCGACGAGCGCGGCTATCGACACGAACGAGCTGCTCGCGCGTCAGAACCTCAGCGAGCTCCAGCATGGCCTGTGCTTCACGGCTTCTGGCACCCACATCTCGAAACAGTTGGCGCCGGTCCTTGAGGATTTCGGCAGCCTTGCTGTCATCCCCCAAGTGGATGAAGCACGTTGCCAAGGAGGGTAGGCACTCTGCTTCAAGATACTTGTCACCCAAAATTCGCAGCTGCCGTCTCGCCTGCCTGCAAGCCAGTGCCCAGTGCTGGCTGCTGGACGTGGCAAATGACTGCAAAAGACTTAGAGTGACATCCTGCCAAAACCGCATCCCCTACACCAAGCAATGAACCTTCGAAAACTCAAGACCATTGAAGCAATCACAACCGACGAAAGATCGACCAAGCATCTGAAAACACACACGAACACACATGCGGCCGACATGCAGGGCAACCCATGCAGCTTGCGGTCAGGACGCTCTGCCCAATCGCGAGCGGATTCCACTTGCTTCCTGGTTTTCCGAGCCAAGTGCAGGCTGGAAACGAGCTGGAGTTCTCTGCCCAGCCATTCTGCCGCACACAAAGCCCGAAGGGAGGTGAGCGTCTTGTCGGCGATGATCTGCGCCTACTCCAGGAGCGAGGAGTGGTAGTTCTAACAGCAGCTATGTCATGTAGTTAAAGGCTGCGATTCGGCAAGCTTCCTGTCTGCAGCTACAAAATGTTGCTTAGACGTGGCGATGTATGAGAATGCCGGGACGACACACCCATTACCTTCATGACCTGCACCATTTCTGCAGAGCAACAAGGAATCACGACTGGACCAGGCAAACGAAACGACATGGGCCTTCGCACGATCCGCTTCCGACATCATCTCACGAAGAGTTTCCAGCATGATGTCGCGCACGATGAGACAGGGTCGTAGGGCTCCCATTCTTCTGCAGTTCTTAGCATGCTCGCGCACAGCCTCTAGCGCCGTCTGGCGGGAGCTTTCCGACAAAAGGGCTCTGACTTGAACAGCCAAGCTGTACTCGGCCCATCCATGCCAGCATCCATGTTCCAGAAATAGGGAGCAAGCCTCTGCTGCAGCAGCTGCAGCATCCCGTGGTCTGCCTCCTTTCTCGTGAGAACTCAAAGCCAGCAGGTACAGCAGTGCAGAAAGAAGCCTCGAATCTCCTGCCTCCTGAGCCAAGGGCAAGGCCTCTTTGACGATTGAAATAACTTCGAAGTGCTTTCGCTGAAGCTGCGCTGCAGCCGCCAGAATGAAGAGAGAGTTGCACTCACCATGCCGGCTTCCCAGTGCACGAAACATCCGCAGTGCTTCAAGACCAAGCGACTTCCCCAAGTGGATCTCGTGTCGCTTCAAATGCACACATGCGAGGAAGACACAGGTCAAAGCCAGCCCTGTGTCCTCGCCTCTTCTTCGGAAGAGTCGTCTAGCCTCCTGAAAACATCGCACACATCTGCGGCATCAAGAAGAACAGACAGCAAAGCTCAGACCTAAGATGGGAAAAGATGTCCTCACCAGCCTGTAGAGCACCCGCAAGAGACTGCCTTCTATCACACAGGATCTCTGCCCGAGACAACGAAAGCACCATTTTGGGAATGTCGTTGCCGTGAAGCTCGGCACGTGCAATTTCTTCGTCCACAAACTCTGTGGCGATGTCTAAAAAATGCTCGCGGCAGCCTCCCTCAAGACCGACACGACCGCAGGGCTGCGCAAAGGCTTGCGCTCGCAGTGCATGTACAAAAAGCCTTGCACTAAAAGCTGCAGACAAAACGTCTCCAGACACGTTGAATAACAGACAGGATTCAGCGGCAGCATGTTCTGCATCTAAAAGGTCGTCGGTGCACTTTGCGGTCATCAAAGCACGCTCTGCAACAGAAAACAGGAAAGCAGCCGCTCTCCGACTGCCCGAAATGTCCTGTGCATCGGCAAGACTCGAGAAAGACTCTGCCAGGCCATCAAGCAGCGTACCGGCCGCATCCAGCAAATGGAATCCGGGCGGTGTTATGTAGGTGGTCACGTCCATTCTTTCGGCGGCATATCTGTTGAAAACCTATCTGCTACCAAGGTGTCCATTGAACCAATTCTGCAATCCCAACGCACAGACAGACGGTCACTGAAAACTTGCCAAGTAAGATGGACTTGGTCATGTGCTACAAGATTTGGCTGGCTGTTAATTCTAACGGAAGCTCAGCTGACAACCCATTCGACAACATCGCCAGCAACACGCGCCGTGCCTTCGCACACGAGAACACACATGCAACACACACACACACACACATACACGCACAAACCCGTGCACACAAAATACTTCGATCAGCAGCACATGTTGAATCGAAAGCGTGCGGCGCCTCGCTGGCCACAAAGAGGGCGGCGATGTGCGATGCAACATGTGTGAGTCAGGGAGAAATTCGATACAAAGCAAATAGTGACCGTGGGTTGCTGGAAGTGTGGCAAGTCGAATGTTGGGGCTACAAGACTTTAATTGAGCCACATGTTGTCCAATCATGCACACATGCGCCTGAAATTGGAATGCATTATCAAAATATGCATGCTGAACACCGCATCGACATGACAGGAGAAGCTTTTTGGCAATCTCGGCCACCAAGTACCGCAACCAAATTTTGCTAGGTTCCTGACATACAAACTTCGGATTCGCATTGCACTATACTATCAGCTGTGCATGCACAGACAGCAGTTGTGATGATGATGCCATCGATAAAGGTGAAATCAGAACAAACACCCCACAATGCTTTTGTTTCAATCTCCTGTTCCATCGAACTCTTAAGCCCGCGTACCGCGAATGAAACCTCGAAGCCTCAGTGGCATCGGCAGCCGCGTTCGGTCCAAGCAAACAGCTCAGATAAGTCCACGGACAAAATGCTACGTTTCATCGTTTGATGCTTGCACGGTGGCTTACTGCACAACACCTTCTCAAGACCACCCACTCCAAAAGTTTGGCTGCAGCACAGCGGGTATCTGTGGGACTGTGACTTCGTTTAGTGCTGGGCTGTTGGAAACTGTTCTCGGAAAGGTTGATTGTTTGTCCAATGGCCGGCCAAAGCCCTCGATTTGGAGGTTCTTTTCGTACTGCACGGAGTTGTAGACTGGATTAACGAAGCTCTGTTCCGTCAAGTGACCCACAGACTCCTAAGCCCCACCCAAGCACGTCCCGAAAGAACCGCGACCCAAAAAGATTCAAGTTCGTTCAGGAAACCAGCAAAGTGGCAGATCTCCCTCTTTAATGACAAAAAGAGGTGTGAAACCCATGCTTTTTTGAATGGGACCACTTTCCCTTCAGCGAAGAAGGGCTTCAAGGTCTTTTTCAAGTTCCACCTGCAGATTCCTCAAATCTTTGTTAAAGCAAGGCAACAACAAGGACCGTCAAGGACTCCAAGTCAGAGGCCCCCCTCCTCCTCCCCCTCCTCCTCCCGCTCCTCCTCCCCCTCCTCCTCCCACTCCTCCTCCCCGAATAACGCGCGGATCTGCTGGTGGAGGCGCTTGCCTGCACAGGTACGTGGCCGCAGCTCCGCCTCTGCGAAACGCTTGCCTGCGCAGGTGAGCGTTTGCCTGGCCTGCACTTGGCTTTCCGCATTCGGGTTTAGGGTTTAAGGAAGAAGGATTTAACCTTAAAACTTGAAACTTACACCCTAAAGTTTAATTCTAAACCTTACAAGGTCAATTTTGAAACGTCCTTCTACAACTTAAACCCTACACCCGCCAAAACCCAAAACCAAAACCTTTATTACAAAACCTAAACCCTCAACCTTTATGAAAAGCTAACCCCTACAGCCCCTAAGATCCCCTAAATCCAAAACCCCAAACCTTTATTATAAGACCCAAACCCCAAGTATTTGTTAGAACCAAAATCCTTTACCCTAAACCTTCAGTTGAAACCCTCGCCCTTATCCTTCATTCTAAAACCTAAGCCCCAGCCCCTACACCTGAATTGTAATAAACCCTGAAACCCTTAAGATGGGAGTGTACGTCTTAGGAATGGCTTCGGGGTTAAGAACACGGCTTAAAGAAGCCACAATTTAGGGTGCTCGAAAAACTTGTGCAAACCCCTAAATAATAAAATCTAATCATGTAGTATTGAAAATATGTTCTTTACCTTTAATGTGTAGGCGAATCCCATTCAAAATACAACGTAAATCTCGAGAATAATAACCCTTCAACAATAGAATCAAAGCATGTCATATTGGAAAATCATTCCGTGCCTTAAATGCGTAGGCAAATCCCATACAAAATACAGCGTAAATCTCGAAAATACTAACCCCAAAATAATAGAATCAAAGCATGTAGCATTGAAAAAGATATTCTATACCGTCTATACCTTAAATGTCCAGGATTGTGCAGGCAAATCACATACAAAATACAACTTAAATTTCAAATATTTTTTCACTGCGAAACAAATACAATTAAAAATCTTCAACATACCATATGCACTTTTTTGAATAAAACGTGCGATTTGCGTGCATGACGGCGTGGGAGTCAGCTGTAGCAGCATCAAAGCGAAGGAGTGCGCATTTTTTTGGGAAGTTCTTCGGTTCGCCTGTCCCGCCGTGGACACCTGGCCTTTAGAGTCTTGGGGCCCCTTGCCATGGGGTGCAGGTTCAAGCCGCCTAACACGGATTTGTAAAAGAAAGCTTGCTGGCTGCAGCTACTGGTCACAAAATGTGAACTTTGATCACCACATACATCACTGTGTACTTGTAGAACAACTTTCTGTGACTGGAAAAGGACCACCGCCTTTGGGTTTCCCAAGCAGTGCGAAAAGCAGCTTCACCATCTTCATACAAAGCAGAAAGTGCCAAGTCCAATCGCTGCACCATGTCCTTTTTCTTGTTTTTGGCATACTCCAATTTGTACTTCGGCATAACGACGACTGAGGAAATGTCCATCGTCCGACAGTCTACCATGACACGGCCCCCAGTGTCGAACTTGAGAAAGGTGTTCTCGTCACCTTGCAGCATGCACCACTTCACAACTGCTTTAACCTGTACCGACACATGAGTTTTGGACAACACGTGCTGCATGCCTTCCCGCTCGCCACTTCTGCATCAAGTCCAATGCGAACCGGTTTGGCATACTTTCCTCCGCGCACCAAAGTCTGCAAGGTCACTGCTGTTTCACACACCAATTGGCTGACGTCCTGGTGTCGAAAGCCTTTCTTGAAAAGACCTTTGATCGAACGCCAAGCCTGGGAATTCGACACATAAGTACCGAAACCCGGGCATACTTGGCCGAGACTGCTTTGCCAATCTGCGCTCCACACCACAAACCCTTCTTCTGCAAGACCCACTTCTCAGTTATCCTCGAATTTTCCTCAAGCAAGCCTACAAATCTGCTTTACTCCCCAAAACTTTGTACATCTTGTCATTTTTGCGTTTTGCATCTCTCGTCTACTTACTACTCAGTCCACTTTAACCACGTCACCACACACTGCACTGTCCCCATTCCAGTCTTCTGGGTCGCGCAGCCTTCGCAACGTGTCCTCCCAATTGACATGGTGGATGTGTGACTTTGGCGCTGAAACTGGATGATTTCCGTTATCTCCATTGTCAACTTCGGGTCAACTTTCTTCTTGCTTCCGATGCGCATGACGTCCTTCTTTCATGTGTTCTCAAGTCCCAGTACAAAGTAGCGTCTGGGAAAGCATGCACTTGTAGCTTAATGGCACCGCCTGCGCAATCCATGACCGTTTCTCCCAATCCAAACCGCCTAAGAGTGATGCGTGTTGGGCTCGCAAAACGGCCGGCTGCCGGGGGCCGTCGGGGCGCACCCTCCCCGAGCGGCTTCAAAATCCCGAAAAATTGGGGTGCGGCATGGTGTTTTAGGGCCATGCGTGTTTGGAGTGATACATGCTGTCAATGTAAAAAATGGATTTGGCGTGCCGGAACGCCACGGAGGAGCCGACCGAAGCCAATCTCGTGCGGCTGCTGGATCTGTGGTCGGTGGACTGGAAGCACCGGGGCCGCACTCGGGCGGTGGGGCCGGGGGCCTATGAGCGATATGCCACGCTGGGGCTTTTCGGGCACGGCGGCGTGGTCGGGGTCTCCAATGCCACGGGCCTGCGGGATGCCTGTGCCGCTGTGAATTGTTTTCTCAAGAGCCGCTTTCCGAACGGCACCTGGACCTCCATCGCCGTGCTCTTCAATCCGCGCATGGGGCTGCACCGCGACATTCAGAACATGCCAGGACACTCGAATCACGCGCTTGCTCTGGGAGACTACACAGGAGGACGGGTGTGGATCGAAGATGACGAGGGGGACTCGACGGCATGGCTGGCCGACAAGAAAGGGGAGCGAGAGCTGCGCGGACGGTGGCTGGACATGCACGACAAGCCGGTAAGCTTCGATGCTCGCCGCTATCACATGGTGGAGCCGCACGAGGGCAGCATGTGGGCACTCGCAGCCTATGTTCCGCAAGCCTATGCTCGGGCAACGGAGCAACACTGCCGGGCATCGAGGCGAACAGATGCTCTCCACACCTGGGAAAACGGTTGTCAGTTTTGTCAGTTTTGTCAGTCGGCTCTTCGGGCCAGAAACGAGCGAACAAGTGTCATTTGTGCTCTCTCTGGGGAGGGTGTTCCAGCACTCCACTCTGTGATAGCTACAAGCCTTAGTTCGAGACATAGGTCAGAATTCGATACTTTGGAGCACTGTCGATTCGCGGGCGTACGGCCCGCAGCTCTGACGATCTTAAGGGCTCTAAAGTCTTTGCAAAACGGGCTTTGGAGGAACTTTAAGGGCGCGCAACTCGCCAGCAGCTGACGAGCACTCGCCAGCAGCTTACCAGCTACCTACGAGCACTGGCCAGCAGCTTACGAGCTACTTGCCAGCAACTTACGAGCTACTTGCTGGCAACTTACGAGCACTCGCCAGCAGCTCACGAGCGACTTTCGAACTGCAATTCAGCGACTCTTGAACCGCAACACAGCAGCTTTCGAACCGCAACTCAGCGACTCTTGAACCGCAACACAGCAGCTTTCGAATCGCAATTCAGTGACTCTTGAGCCGCAACACAGCAGCTTTCGAACCGCAATTCAGCGACTCTTGAACCGCAACACAGCAGCTTTCGAACCGCAACTCAGCGACTCTTGAACCGCAACACAGCATTTCGAACCGCAACTCAGCGACTCTTGAACCGCAACACAGCAGCTTTCGAACCGCAATTCAGCGACTCTTGAGCTGCAACACAGCACCTTTCGAACCGCAACTCAGCGACTCTTGAACCGCAACACAGCAACTTACGAGCACTCGCCAGCAGCTCACGAGCGACTTTCGAGCCGCAAACAAACTGCTTCCACGCCCTCCGCGCCAACAGAGGGCGCGCAAGCGCGCGTCGCACCTCAAACAGCTCCGGAGCACGACGAAGCGCTTCCAAACAGCTCGCAAAGTGCTTTCGATGCCGCGCGCGCCCGTTTTGCAAGCACTTTAGAACTCTAAGATTAAGCCGTACGGCCTTCAGCCCTTAAAATTGACAGACCCTCCGAGTATCGAATTCGACCCTATGTCTCGAAATAGCCTCGTAGCCACTACAGAGCAAGACCTGGAATACCCTGCACAAACTGCGTTTTGGTTCCCACATCATCGTTCATCGATTCGGGCAACTGGATACGCAGACAACCATGCCGGCGTCAGAACGAGGCCACCGGGCAATTAGTCGCCGCTGTCCCAAGCGTGTTCCATTTATACGCCATTGCGTCTGACACCGTCGATACAGTGCTGCTGGAACGTCTCCATCGACCCTGCTGCAACAATCCAATCTGCCGACTGCCCTTTCCGCCAGTCGCTACTTCCGGTCTTCCGCGCGCCCTCTATGATACGGATGGATTTGCCTTGCCTGATCCGGGCACACCGGCTAAAGAGGACCCGGGCTTGACAGTCCAGACTCCGCTCGGTTAATCCCATGTCCATGACTTTCGACATACGTCGAAGTGTCTTTTTCTTGTGCTAGCACTTGCCGTGGACTTATGGATTTTCGTGCTCACTTGGGGCATCACTCGGTTGGAACAATGGCCACCGTTGACTTCGGAGCGCGCCTATTAGGCAACTGGCTCTGTTCGGGCAATCCCAATGTCCATGACTTTCGACACACTTCGAAGTGTCCTCCTCGCACTTGCCTTGGACTTGTGGATTTTCCGTGCTCGATCGGGACACAACAGGATCTCGGGGCCGACTGTTGTTCGACGGAACTAGAACGGCGGCCGGAGCTTTTGACTTGGGCTCTACCGTTGATCTTGGACAACCTTGGGCGACGGCCCACTGTTGTTGTGAAACGGTCGCTGAGGACCCATAGTTTTTGCTGAACGGCCAATACCGGCAAAGTCTGTGCGCCGCAGCTAGCTTTCGCCCTCTTAATTAGCCGTTTCGTTTCAGGGCTGTTTTCGATGGTTTGTTGGATTATTTGTTTGTAGGGACCGATAGCTAGCTGTGGGCTCCATGCTACAACCTGTACTTGCCACGTTAGAGCTGTGGCACGGTAGAGACTCCCCTGTGGAACCCCACATTCCCACATGGACTCCTCCGAGCCCCTGCATCTGAACCTGACATTCCCACAGAATCCCTAACTTCCCCCAAACCCCTGCATCAATGCTGATCACTCGTGTCTCGCAGCCAACAAGGCAACGACAGCAACAACGCTGTGCAGCTATGCAGTTGATCGAACGAAACAAGATAAGCCGGCACTGGGGAGGCCACCCCCCGTGGACCCCAAACCATCCCAATTTTTCGGACCCAAAACCAGGTGACAGGTTCCAGCTGAATGAAAACAACAAGTGCCCGACAAAAAGCTTTTGTCAAATTGAAACAAACATGCAGATCGTAACGCGTTGGATGCCTCTCAATGCTGAAGGAACGAAGAGACTGAAAAGTACCGGGGAGCTCCAGACAGGCCAAATCAACACCGGAACCAATCACATTTTGGCAAAAGCAACACCAGCCAACAGAGCCTTCGCATGCGCCGTGCTTTGCTGGATTTGGAAAAACTCTGGTCGACCTAGCAGACACCACACGTCCAAAAGACTTTCACTCGATGAGCCCCACAGCTCGTGCCAGCTTTACGTCATTGCGACTTCCACCCCCGTACCCCCAGATCAATGTTGCAAAATGCTGCCACCCTGGATTTGGAGTGAGGCGGCCTATGACAGATCCAAGCACCGGTTATTGCTTGTCTTGAACACATTGGCTTTCAACAGTCAAGTTGAAACTTGCTGCATATAGTCGTACCAGGTGCAGTTGCAACTGGGGAGGCCCAGTTTGAAAGGCACCGTTTTTTGACCGGGTTTTGGGTCCCAAACATGGTCTTTGCAGGCGAACCTAATTTTCTATGTCGTGTTTGCGACACTGGCAAGCCAGACGGTGCTTGCAGAGAAGCTGAAAGCACTCAAAAAAGCTCGCAGTCCGGTTTTAGCAAAACCGCTTTCTGGCAGCTGCAGCTGCCGCTCGTGGGTCTCTATTCGCTTGGTCCAATGTACAGTCGGAAGAATGGCCCACAGAGGAGGCTTAAGCCTTGCTCCTGACGAACACCCAAATCAGGTGTCGTCACGGGGAAACCTGCTTGTTGTGCTCGGCGCTCCACTCTGTGATGCGGTGATGCGGCCGTGCTGCCTTGGCGCCTCGTGCTTCGCACGGCCTGATATTAGCACAGCAGGTTCATTCTACGTCTGAGTCCTGCCTTACCAAATGAAAACGCTCGCGCCAAACCCGTAGGGGTTGGGCAGTCTGGGAAGGGGGCGAGCCCTGACAGCTGTTCAAAGCGCAGCTGCTCAGTTCAATACTCGCTTGTTTTTTGGTTGCGATTCGCTATTGGGGGTGGCATGCGCCGCAGGTTCGTCTGCTGCCGTAGCACCTGCGCATCGGATCAGGGTCCGCGAACTTTATGAGATGGGCTTGGGCGATGGCCAGCCAGCGATGTTATTCGCCCCACGGATGCTGAATCTTTGCAGTTGCCATTGCGCGACTCAGTATGACTGAGAAGCGGGGCATCTGAGCGAGGGAAGTAGTTTTGGACCGAACACACTAGTCGAACGACCACTGCCGGCTAAGTCTGCAAGTCGCGGCTTGTTTCACCAGCAAATGCGTTGTCATGTCTTTTTGTACAGTTTCTTATTGCCATTCTTTAGTTCTTACTGGGACCGAGTGCAGCAACGGCTGTCTTTGAGGCCCGCCCACGCCAAAAAAAAAAGGATCAGGGTCCGCGAAATTTGTTGTCGCATCGTCAGCTCCGCCCTGGCCATTCGGCTTTGCGGCGGTGTCTGTGATGGTGCGGTGTGGGACACTTGTTTTGGACCATGAGTCGCGATTTCTGCCTCTTTTTGGTTGCAGCGCCCCCACCATTGGGCTCACAATCGTCATGGCCCTCTGCCGGAGCAGAGCCGCTACGGATGTGCTGTAGTTTTCTGGCTTGGCGAGTCGCCCAGTCGTATCATCCCTGGCCATTCCGCTTTGCGGCAGCAGTGCGGCAAGCCGTTGCGCCAGCTCGTCCATTCACCTGCTGGCTTCTTGTTTACTTTGCTGCTTTGGCTCCCTCAGTTGGGCTAGGCACCGCGCCGTGGTCATGCTGAGACCCTACCCTTGTGGTGCAGGTTGCCCAGTGTCTCTCTGGACATTCATTGCATGTGCTCTTCGGTGCTCCGCCCTTGGAGGCCACGCGGCAACTGCGGGTTAAACCCAGATTTGAACCCAGGTTGTAACCCAGGTTTGAAACCCAGGTTCTAACCCAGGTTTCGAACCCGGGTTTAAATGAACCAGGTTTAACCCAGGTTTAACCCAGGTTTAACCCAGGTTTCAACCCAGGTTCAAACCCAGGTAGAACCCGGGTTCCAAACGCAGGTTTTGGAACCCGGGTTTAAAACCCAAGTTTAAACCGAGGTTATAACCCAGGTTTGAACCCAGGTTTGAAATCCAGGTTCTAACCCAGGTTTGGAACCCAGGTTAAAGCATCCAGGTGCCATCAAGTTGATCGTCATAAAATCGACGGTCGATTGATTCATCCTGCCTTGCACAGGCACCCCACCCCGTCCCCGGCTTTGGGGAACAGTCGCTGCATGGTGTGTGAGGGATCGCTAAACACGGAGACCGAAACAATGCAACGCTAGATGCAACTCAGTCTGGTCGTTGATGAGTGGCAAGAGAGCCTTGCACCCCGGGCATTCACCTCTGGGGGAGCTTTCCAATCGTCCAAGAAAATAGCCAATTAAATTTTTGATTTGGAGTCTCCAGCATATTTTGCATTTCGGTTGAAGTCTTAACAAAATGCCAAACTCCCGCAGGTCAGAAAACTTGGCACATAATTTGTGGAAGCACATAAAAAATTAGATTTTCAATGCTTTTCAAGTGTTTCTTAGTCGAGCTCTAGCCAGAGCTGCCGACGCCAAAAAACAATACAAAAAATAAATTCATGTGTTGACTGCTCTGCCATGGCATGAACTGAACACAAACATAGAAAAGCCAAGCTTTCAGAGAACGTCGCAGCCATCCATTTTCTTCGTGCTGCTTTTTTCTTTTGTGTGTTGTTTCATCAATTCTGCTCTTCTCATTCCATTTTCTTCGCAAAAACCATCTATAAACCGATTTCATGTCATTTTTCGTGTGTAATTGCGTTTTGTTTTCATTGTTTTCTTTGCAAATCGTGCGGCTTCTTCTTCTTCTTTCATGTGTGGTGTTCGAAGAGAGCTTTAAGCGGCTTGAAGGGAGGCTTTATCTTTTTCTCAAAGGGAGTGGACCAGAATCCTGTTGAGAAAGAAGATTGTAGCTTCTTCGCGGTTTGGTTTTGAGGTACTATAGGTGGTTAGCAAGTCTGTAGACTGTGGAGTTTGGTCGATAAAAAGGTGAGAAGATTGGAAAGTGGAAGGCTGCGAAGCTGATCTTCAATGGGCGTGGAAAGCGTCTGGATGGACTGCAGGTGGTGGAAGCTCTGGGCTTCAGTGTGGTGGCGCCTGATCAGTTCGTTCCGCTTGGAGCGGTGCGGCCCCTGCCATGCCGCCCGAGTGCCCCGCTGCTCGTTGGTCTTTCTTTGACATGTGTGGAATTCTTCCGGAGCTGATCGTTGTGGTTTTTGTGTTGTTTCGAGGCTTATTTCCAACGCGTTCAACGTACTGAGCAAATCGATGATGCTTGCAACTTAACAGCTGTGTCTGAGTTTTGGAACTTCCAAGCCGCCAAGCCAATAGAAGGCTGTCGATGCATCGGATTGCACAACATCAGACTGACCCATAGAATCCCGAATGCTTCCGAACAAGCGTGCTTTTAAGGGCACTTTTGGATGAAGCTACAGACACGATATCGAGCTTTTTCGACATGCAGAAAAGCCTTCACATGCTTTTTAGTCATATTACGTTGGAGAAATCGCACGTAGTTTTGATGCTAGTTGTCGATATGGCTTCGAAGACGGGTCGTGCAGGTTTGATTGTTGAATCGATGTTCACGATGGCCATCACATCATTTCGGGAATAAACGAAGCTTGAGGTCAGAGAGAACTTTAAAGTTGTCCCAGCGCACAGCTACTTCCCACATCAACACATGCGTTCTTGTTCATGGTGCAAAGCTGCCGCCTTGGACGCCCTACAGGCACTGCACCAGACATCGGCTGCTTCGTGTTTGACAGTGCCTTGTGTGTATTGGAGAGCGACGGCTCCCAAAGTGTGCAGGATCCAGACTACCCACCGTGGCTTTGGGCACTGGTTCTCAGACGCTCTGATGTGCAACTTTGTGTGCGGCTATGTCAGAAGATGATGTAGCATGACACCTGAACTCTGGTCCTCATGAGGGTAACAGTCATGCAAAATTCGGCGAAGCATGATGCACTGGGTAGCAGCGAGTGCAGTCAGCCTGCCTACGTACGCCCATACTGTGTAATGGGGCTTGATTTGTTTTGAGGCCTAAGTCTGTACAAGATCGATGACAAGGTGCAGCAACATGAGCGTTGTTTGTTCGTCGAGGCCGCTGTTGGTAGCGTGACAAACTGCCGGAGGTGCGAAGCGATGATTCCACCCAAAGCGTGGCACAGGAACTGCTCGCAAGACAATGTGCGGCTTGGTCTAACTCTTTTTGATAAAGCTTCGTTCTGTGCTGCGCGAGGACGCGGAGGCTTTGTGGCAGGTGATCCCCGTGTGCTGGTGCCCATCACCTAGCGACGACTGATCACCGAATTGTCAGGCTCAGGCGACGACATGTTGGACTGCAGGCACAATGTCTTCATCCTGTAAAGACGTGACAGTGCCGCCGCGAGCCGTGAGGTGACAGTCGGTTTAGCGACGGTGCAACGAGGCCAAAGGGAGAGCATCAAGACCCCAGGCGCCTCTTCTCTGGCCATCGTTGCCCACAGGCCAGCATCAAGTCGAGCCGGCCAGGAGCCGAGCAACAGGGCAAGTTATGGTTTTGGGATGTTTTGGGCCTGCCGCGCAGATGATCATAGCCCAGAGTTTGCCAAGGAAGGCTCGGACCTTTGCTCGATGTCACTAGGAACTTCCGAGATGCAAGCATTTCGCTGTTGCAGGTCCCAGCGTCCGAGTTTCATTAAAGTGCCCCGGCTTGTGCGATTCGTGATGAAGCAGCACAAGACTGCTCTTGAATGTCATGGATCAGATGTTGCATGGGTGTTGACACCGAGCGAAAGCTGAGGAAGCAGAAGCGACAGCCAATGCCTCGGCAGGGTAGGTACTCGACTGTGCTCGCGCTTGAAGGTGGCACAAGCCCTTCGACAGTTTGTCGAGGTCTATGAAGCCACGCCACGACTTTCGAGCGCGTCAGCTGCCAGAAGCTCCCAGGCCAAGGGTCCATCGCGCGAGCGTTTTGAAGATCTGGGGCTTTCCGCAGCTGAAGAAGGCTGGAAGGCGATGTGTCGCTGCTTCAGACAGCCCTTTCCCAGCCTCCACAGCCGCCTCAGCCGGCCCAGCCGCTTCAGCGAGGCCTCACAGAAGCTCTGTGCGGGTCATTGTGGGTGTGCATTGTTGAGTCTTTGCTGCCTTTTCAGGCAGCCCGAGTCCGGATGAAGGTGGGCTCTTTCCGTGGCGCGCACCGCCACTGCTTTGAGCAGCTTTGAACTTTGACAGGCCAGAAGTCACAAGGACCTGAAGCCGATCCGAAGGAAGAAGCTGGCCAGCTGCCTTCCTGCCTTCCAGGGACTTCAGTTCCCAGTGCTTTCGCTGCTAAGGTAACAAGTACCGCACGAGGTTCTCGACGAGGCAGGAAGTCTGGTGAGCTTCTGCAAGTCATGGTCTATGGGTTGCCACATCAATGCTAGCCGTTCTTTGAAGTGCAATGCATGCTCTGAGGAAATGCAGACACAAAGTGCGTTTCAGGGTAGCTTCATAGCTTCAGGCCACAATGGAGTCCCTCGGCATGTTGGTTCCTTCCCGATGCTAAAGCGGTTTATATGAAGGCAGGACAAACGAATCGGCTTTCATCTTGCAGCTAGCAGCAATGAGATCATCGGCCTTAAGATGATGTTGAGCGTTCAAGTCTTCAACTCGAATTCTTCACGCATTCTTTCTCGTCTTTTTTTTCGAGGAGGCGGTCCTCGATGTCTGGAGGCAAATCTCGCGCGGAGCCTGGGCGACCTCAAAGTGCGGTATCGTCCGGTGCAGCTGTGCGCTTGTGGCAGTCGCGGCACGAACTACGCCGGTCGGAGGCAACTGAGTGGCCTCTCTTCCATCGCAGTTGGCTGAGAATCGCTGTGCGGAGGCTGGTACAGCCCCATACCGGTTGTTACGCGACGTGTGAGCGCGGGACCCTTACCGGAAGTGCTGCATCTCTGAGTTCGATGTTGGCGATGTCCGAGTCGCGCAGTCAATTCATATATGCACGCTGCGGACTGGACACTTTTCAATGGTGCACGCCCTTTCTTGTTGTCCCAGCGGTCCCGGCACATGGACACCGGCGTCAGGGCACACCTGCCTCATCGAGATAGGTAGCACGTACGTCTCGTTCCATGCAAACGCCGTGCAGCAAATTCCGAAACGGGTCAGTGTAAAGACGCTCGTCTTTCAGCATTGCATTGCCCAGCTCTGGCATTTCGCAAGAACTTCTGTCCAGAAAACAGGCGAAGTTCGTGTAGACATTGGACGTGTTTCTTCCGTGATCTCGTGCATCACAGAAGATGTCAATGTGCAAAGCACGAATGAGGAGGAACGCCGGTGAGCGCGCGAGTCCCAAAGCCTTGGCTGCAGGTGCTGTACGAAGCAGTGAAGAAGGCAGGAGTGGCACTGGTTTGGTAGAGCCACAGACACCTAGCGGCGTAAAATGAGCTCGAAGGCAGACGCAGAGAACGCAGTCAAGGCAGGGTGCAGCGGTGCATAGCGGTGCAGTGCTAGAAGATCACTTTCTCATGACCTGTGGTCAGGGCCTGTCCGGTGATGCAAACTCTGCACGGAAGGCTCTCCATTAACGGTGAACCCCGTGCCTGCAGACCGGGAATTGTGAAGGACCCGCATGCCGGCCATGTGCATGGCCATGCACATGGCCATGCGCATGGCCACGCGCACGGCCACGCTGGACAGCAGCGTCATCCGGGGTCGCAGGCCCCACGGGGGGTGGCACCAGGAGAGTATCCCCGGAGTTCCGCGAAATGCAGGGCAGCAAGGGTCCGGCCAACGAATTGCAGACACTGGGCCATGCACCCGTTGCGGTAGAAGTATGCTTCACGGCACGCCCCTGCCTCCTCGCAGCTAGCGTAGTGACGCCCCTGCTATTGTCAAGGCCTTACGATGCACGTCAAAGAGGCGCTGGCTTGGGTCTTCTGCTGGTGATGCCGTTTCTGTGGCTCGTCAGGTTCCCCAGTATGAAGACGAGAAGCCTCCAGATCGGGTTTCGGGACTTGCGAAGCAGTTGAGGCGCGAACTGCAGAAAGAAGACCTGTTTGGGCCGTTGTGGCTATGCCTTCGGCTTTCTGTGTGGCTGTCAAGGATCCCGCTTGACATCCTGCCGCCTGCCACAATTGGTCATAATTGGTCACGGGGCAAGCCCGTCTTTCTGGTTCACGTCCAGAAGAAGACTCATCTCATAGCTAGTTTTTGCATCTGGCATCAGGAAACAAGCTTACGAGGTCTTCGAAGACATCTGCATGACGTCCTGTCCTCGATTCGGAGATGTTCGGCGGCAGTCGAATTGCGTTCGTTCGGCTTCTGGACAGACATTTGCGGTATGCATTGTTGACTCTGTTTGCCAAGACCATGATCTAATGTAGGAAGGGTTCCATAAAGCTCCTTCGTGAATGTTCAAGGCCCGATCATCCGATGTCACACAAAGGCAAGAGGAGCGCCTTTGCAGTTGGATGCTGTTTCACTCCTGAGCAGCAGTACGGTGTGAATGCATCTCGGTCGGGGTCGCGTCCTCGATGAGGACCAACAAACGAGGAGAGGTGATCGAGGAGGAGTTCGATGTCTTTCAGGACCCGAGCCGTGCGTGCAGCCCCCTATAAGTGTTGCGGGATTGAGTTAAAGGGTGTTGCGATCAGCTTGTCTGCCCCAGCATTGAAGAGGATGGAGAGCTCAACATTGATGGCTTCGCCAGAGTGCTTTGCAAGTTGATAGGCCGGTTAAAGTTTGTCTGGGGCTATTGCGTGGCGCTGCTTTTGGTGATGAGCACTTGAGGCTGTAACAGCACAGCCGAGCTTCCAGACGGGTCGGGTACTCGACAGCTGCTGGCACAAGCATGTCTTAGCACAGCTGCAAGAAAAGCAGCTCATCTTGCTGTCGTACCGGCCTTTGTTGTCAGTCTGAGATCCCCCCACATACTTGTGTTGCCCGTTCGTGTGATGAGGTTGGTGCAGAGGAATTTCCGAGATGCCGCACGCAACCCAGAGTCTGTTTGCATCCTGATCCTGCTATCGGCATGCAGTGCCCCCCGAAAGCATCGCGCAAGGACGGCAACAGCACGAAATCAGTCAGCTTTCTGGAGTTCGCCTTCTGGTATTCCAGGCCAGCATGCTTTCACAAAAGATATCTTTTGGGAGTCCGCATGCGCATGCCAGCCAGGCATGGGTTCATGGAGAACATGCTCCTGACCACGGCACAGCTTGAAGTTCGCGATCTGGTGAGCAAACAAATGGCCGATCCAATTAGCGGTGTCATAGTCATAGAAGCTGCCGTTCCTTCAGGCCAGAAAGTACAATTTGCCGGTAATCGAGGAGCTCTGGCGGAGAGGGAAGCTTCCAGCTCACAGCTCACTGGTTCTCTGCGCTGCGCAGGTTGAGCAGTACAAGAAGAAGTTCGATTTCTTCGACGAGGAGACGGCTGTCGTTCTCTTTGGCATGTTTCTTCATGAGTGCTTCCTGCATCGTCAATCTGCAGGGCTTCCCACGTGAAGATTATGATGAGAGCAACCCTGCAGCTTCGCGTCTACCATTCTCTTCTTCTCTCCCAGAATCTTTTTGATCGACACCAGGCTACGACTGCTATGATGCGAAGGCTGCTTCTACGACTGCTGCCACTGCGACCAACAAGTTCTACTACTATAGCATAGCAAGTTGGCAAGACTAATATCAAGATAGCCGGGAATCTTACTCTTGTGAACCACAGGTACAGGTGTGCAACACAGGTGCACCTACAGTATTTGCAGTAGTGAGTTGGAGTCCGCCAGTGTCGGTGTCCGGGGCTAGTGGCTTGGTTTCGCAAACATAAAGTCATGGCTGCTCGAGTTCCGAGATAGGCTTTCCTGATGACATTCGTTGTTCCTGCCATGGCTTTTCGACCATGAGCTGCTTTTGTTATTGGGGATACTGTTTCAGTCTCGGCTCTCAGCGCTTGGAACTCCTTCACAGCATCCTAAGCACATCGAGATCCCCCAGAATTCCAGAATGCAGGACAGGAGCGGCTACATCGAGTACTCGGAGTTCGAGAACCTGTTGAATCAGCTCGTCAAGGTGTCTGGTTTAGGGCCTAGGGTTTAGGGCTTAGGAGGCAAGGGTCATGCATCCAGGTGCCTGCGAATTGCGAGTTCCCTCCCGGTCGGGTCAAGCAGCAGACGCCTGAGTTGAGAGGACAGTCCTACTTCCAGAATGACTATTGTACTGACTAGTAGTCCATAACCGTTGCTGCTGTTGCCGCTCCTACCTGCGGACCTATCTGCAACTACTGCTACTACTACTAAGTTGCTACCACTACTACCACTACTACTACTACTACTACTACTACTACTACTACTACTGCTACTGCTGCTACTGCTGCTGCTGCTACACTACTACTACTACTACTACTACTCCTACTACTTCTACTACTTCTACTGCTCCTACTACTACTACTACTACGACTACTACTACTACTACTACTGCTACTACTACTACTACTACTACTACTACTACTACTACTACTACTACTACTCACCCCCCCTACCAATCACCTGGCGCCTTAACCCATCATCATCATCATCATCACCATCATCATCCACGAACATGATAGTTGCAGAAGATGCAGGGGCTCAGGCCCTCTATTTGTGACAGCTGCAAAAGTTGCCGAGGCTCACTTGCCTTGACTGTCACAGCCGGCGAAGTTGCACACGCTCAGGCCCCAAAACTGAAACAGCAACTCAATTGGAGTTGCAAACTCGATTGGCAAGAAACTCCCAAACGAGAGGTGGTCGGATAGTGCGAAAACGATGTTAATAGCGTGCAAAACGCAGGTGCTGCCAAGAACGTTTGAACACTCCTTTTGCTAAATCTGAAGCGCAACATCTTCCAACCATCAAAAACGAAGATGCCAGCTGTATGTGAGAGGGGCTCGCCAACACCCTTAAAGCCCAGACCTCGGCGTAGGAGGCTTTGCTTTTGAAGTGGGGTGTGGTGTTCGAGAGGCTGCCTGTAAGTCGTAATGCCCATCCCGCCCGGAAGCAACAACGGTGCTAAAGAACGGTGGTTGGCAATAGACTACGACATGACCAAAGTACTTTGAATACCGAATGACAAACCAGCTTCCCCCCAACCAATGTGGAGTTTTCGCCGAAAGCCCTCGTAAAGCCCAATGTCGAGTTTGCAAAGTCCAGAGGTACGATTTGGTGACTGTATAGAATGGTCCGACTTCACGAAAGTACTGTAAATACCGAGCAGAACGGCTCTTCTGGCAAGGTTGCTCGGGGTGTCTGCGTAACACTGTCGTCATCATCCCCCCGACCCCGCCCCCCCCCACCCCCCCCCAAGAGAAAGTCCAGAATCGGAAGCTGGAGTTTGCAGAAACGCAGCTCAAGATGTTCCTACATGACGGAAGTGCTGTAAATATCGAGTAAATCGGATGTGCGTTACAAGAATATGGTCAGAGGGGTGGTTGGTGAGGGGGGGCCTACAACTGCTACTACTAGTACTACTACTACTACTACTACTACTACTACTACTACTACTAGTACTAGTACTAGTACTAGTACCAGTAGCTTTAGCAGTAACTTTAGTAGCAGTAATTTTGGTAGTAGCAGCGTTTGTGGTAGTAGCTTACGTCGTAGTAGCAGCAAAAGCAGTAATAGTAGCAGTGGTAGTAAGCAATCAAGCTGCAAGCATCTTCCTGAGGTTCTGGGCAGAGGCCGACAGAGACAGGAGCAGTGCCATCTCTTTTGAAGAGTTCCTCCTCTTCTACTATAGGCCCGATTGGATGTTTTTGGGTTTGCACAGTTTGTAGCCGTGCTCGGCATTGTGCTGAGGTACTTCAGTCTTACCAACCCAACGACATGTCCCTTCCAGGAGCTGGGGCCTTAATCGCTGAATGCCGATGGCCTAGGATGGCATACTCTGCCAGTGACCAGTGAGGTACTACCGCGGCATCCGTCGAGTCACGGTGGCGCAGTCATGAAGCCATTATTTTCAAGCTAATTTTCACTCGTGGCCGGAACTGGCCATCCAGTCGCTGCCTATGGCACTGCTGGGAGTTAACGAAGCGTATGTGCACGCATAGCAACTGTGCGTGGCATCAAAAGACGCTCGAAACGTCGTGAGTTCCAATGTCATGCCAGCATCAGAGCGAAGCCGTCATCCTTTCCTGGCAGCTCGAGCATATCGGAGCAGGTGAGTCTGCACTCACAGCCACTCACTTAAGCTTCGAGCACAACCTTTTTCTTCTTCGCAAAGGATCCAAATCGCCTGATGCACTCAACTCTTACAACCGAACACAAGCACCATGGCGAAGAGATGCTTTTCCGGATATTGCGCACGAATGCCAACCTTTTATTAGTAGTTTGATAGGTTAATGGGGGGCTGCAAGGCTCTTGGCAAGGCCATTGGCAATGTCCTACAGGCCTGAAGAGGCCGAGCCACGCCGGTGATCGTAAAGAAGTGGCACAAGACAGACAAACCGCGTTGCTTTCTCCTAGCTTTCGATGAGGTTGACGAGATCATCCTCAGGCTTGAGAAGAATGTGGAGCGCAACAGTCTCAGACCTCTTGCGTCTAGACAGGCATCTACCCATGCTCACTTTCAGGCCAGATCGCGACCGTGAACTCCGCGGTCAAGGGTGTCGCGTCGGGGCCCTTGGGAAGACGCAGACTTTGGAGTGCACATTGCGCAGCTTGCCAAGGTTGCACAGCAGACAGTTCTGATATTAAAGCCTGAAGAGACAATGCTCGTAAGGTTGTTTTAAATGCTTAGCTGACGCAGCCAGGCGAGACAGGTCGAGGCAGCAAGGCACGAACCACGTCTGGACACCGAATGTGCTGCTGCCAATCGATTGGTCTGTGGGTCTTCGGCGTGATGCTTTTCAACAACACTGTGATTGCACATCATGAAACAGTTTAAGACCTCAAAGCAACCTGCTGTACTTTGGGCCTCTTGCCTGAATATGAAGACGTTATACATGTGTAATTGTATCGGTATATGTATCTATATCTGTAAAGGTGTATGTGTATATGTTTACACGTATGCATGTATGTATTATGTATGTATGTATATGTAGATGCAGATGCAGATGTAGATGTATGTATGTGTGTATATGTGCATATATGTATGTATATGTATGTATATGTATGTATATGTTTGTAAGAGTAACATGTAGTAACATGGTGGTAGAGAGGGGTCCTTCGGCATTCCGAGGGCCGAGCGTGATTTGCTCAGCACCGCTGAAGCCAGCCGGGACTTGTTGTTGAAAGCCGCCGCGGCCTCGGACTTCTCCCGACCGGTTTCGGAGCGAGCGTTTCGGGTTTGGGGTTTAGGGTGCAGTTGCACTGGTGGAGATGCACAGGTTGCTGGCGAGAAAGACTATCTGGACCCGACACGATGATACTGTTGAGACCTTCTTCCTGGGCACTGCTCCTGTAGGTAGACTGTAACGCTTTCCTTTGGCAGGACAAAGTGTTTGGTGGGAGCTGCGAGCGCATTGGGCGCTTCCGGCATTGCCTCGATCCTGTGAAGTGCGCCCCCTGCCGAGACGCTTCTACAGCCCATCGTCGAATGTGTCAGAGTGACTCGGAGAACCTCACGAGATGCAAGTGGTCCTGCTAGGGCCGAGGGCCACATGGGAAGCATCCGACAGTGATCCGCAGCTTTTAAGGGCTTTGACATGCAGCTCAGCTGTTGTGAGTATTGTGAAGAAGGTCTGTTATCCTAACGTATGCGTGTCGCTGTTGTCGTGGGTTTTTACAATCACCTGCGCCGAATGGCCGACCTGATCGTGGAGCAGGCGGACTGGGCATAGATATCAATTTTGGGTTATCCAGCTATTACTAGCTCTGTCTGAGTGACGTGACCAAATGCTTCTTGCAATGGGTGTTTGCATCTGGATGACTCTGATGTTTGACAACCTCGTTTTTGGCAGCACGGAAGGTTCAAGACAAGGTTCCATCGTCATGGCTGTTGGGGTTGCTCAAGCATGGAGACGCCCTTTTTCCATCGAAGGCACCAGTCTCGTGAAAATTGTGTGACATAGACCCAATGTAGCTACTCTGGAATGGATGGTTCCGCGACACAAGCGACATTTTCAGCTGCTTCGGGCTGCAAAGCTCTTGATAGCTCTGGCAGTCTTCAGAGCTTCTCGATGCTTTGTGCCTGCACGTGCCTCGCCCTACTTTGGGGTCCTTATACTAAGGATCCTACTATTTCGGGTGCTAATTTGCGTGCCATGAGGTCAATTGAAGCCGTCGTTCTCAGATTCTCGCAGCTGAGGAAGACCTTCCACTCGTGCTAGGCTGCAGATATCCCATGCCGAGGATGGCATTTCGACATCCACCTCCCTGCACTTCGGATGCAAAATGAAGGTCCGGTAATCTTTGCACCTCGTCCCTTCGTGGAAGTCGTGGTCAAGTCGTCGCGGGGAGTTGTCGAATCATGTCAAGATTTCCCACAGCAAGAGTCCCGAAGGTTTCACGGCAGGTCGGTAGCAAACACATCCATGTCGAATTCGGCCGGCTGGGGCGATGATGCAAACCGGGTCACGTCGGGGAGTGTCGCTTTGCAGCCTTCGGTTTCCAGTGAGCTTGGAAGATTCGGGCATCGCAGTGTAGACGCTAGGAACGTTGAAGAACACGCACCGCGTTGTCGGTGATTGAAACGCGAATAGGATACTGCACGAGATGAGGGTCAGGCAACAGTTTAAGGTTCAGGGGTTCGGGGTAAGTACCTCAGGCCATGACAACGGTGGTCCGCCTAACTTCTCGGATCTCAGCCTGCCCAGTGTTTCAAAGATGAGGAAGGCAGAATTTCGTTGGCAGATGCCGCCTTGGGCAACCCTGTCACGAAACCCCGCTCCGCTTAGAGTGACAGCCCTGGGCCACACGTGACTACATGCATCCTACACCAGCACTCGGAAAGTAATGACAGAGAGGAGCCGAGATGGCTGTAGCTGGAACTGCAACCAGCAACCACCTTCGTTCTCATGTCGCCATACCCGTGCGTAGTGCTGTGCTGCATCCCTGTACAACATGCCAGAGAGACGATTCCATCATTGTCATCTCTAAAGTGCTTTTAGTCACACAGTCCCAAAAAGGTGAGCACATGGCTCTGCAAAGAAGCTGCCTGAGACAAACGTACCGCCCGCACAGCAGTGACGATGCATACCAGACTGTGCGCTTGATGAGGCACCGGCTGCAGCACCAGCTCGGTTTCTCAGCTTCAGTTTTTTGGTGTGGGCTGAAGGTTTTGGCGTTCAGGGTTTAAGGTTTCAAGGAGTTTAGAGGAGGCCCTCCGACTTCTTTCGGAGTTCTTCTGCAAGGGGTTTAACATGGGCCTTTATACGGGGTCCTTTTAGATAATTCTGTTATGCAGGGCCTGTACCGGGGTCAGCTGTTTTTATTCCATGCCGAGGTGATATCGTGGAGGTGCGCTGTGAAGATGACGGAATGTGGTACCAAGCTGTGGTGGAACATGAGACTGCAGACGGGAACTTCATGGTGCGCTTCGACAAAGATGGCTACGAGTATCATTATCCATTGACCGCCTGGAGGGTCCGCTCTTCCCGCGCTTCCAGCCTTGTGGCGTCTTGGCACCGGGGAATTGAATCGGAAGCAGAGCGACAGGCATCGCAAATAGTTCAGGAGTGCTCGGATTCGGAGGGCAAGAAACGGCAAGAATGGAAATCAGAAGGGGGGGGGTCGTGGGCCAATCCGAGGCTTTCCAAGATCTTCCCGACGGCACGCTCCTCAATGCCACGATCACTCAGAGCCTTGTCAGAGACGCCCACACCGATCCTCATGGTTAGTTTCACTTGTGCGGGACGAGGATCAATCAGACTGGTGCCCTCGCCAGCGTGCAGCTCCCACAAGGGGGCGCTCCCTACCCAGGGCGTCTTGGCTGCGCCATGCGCCCGAGAACCCATGGTTGCCCAAAGAGACAAGAAGAACGAGTCAGTTTGCGTGTCAAGCAAGTTTCCATGTATGGCGGTTAGAATCCAACCGTGGATTCGTGATTCCTGCTTCCATCGCCCCCAGATGGCGAGGCCAATGCCCCTGGCACACAGCCCGAGAAAATAGGACGGAATCTCAGGTACATCACGAAAGCCAACATGGGTCGTGCCTCGGACCAACCTGCTTTGCAGTCGCGGCGAAGGATGTCGGTCAAGAAGCTGAGCCGCTTGTCATATGCCAGGCTTTGTCGTACGCGTCGAGGACATACGATGCTGTCAGATACTGTGCTGTCTTCCTATGCGGGGCGCATGAACCTGGCTGCGCCAGGGTGTGCTTACATGTGGCACACATTCTGGTTATGCACCATATCACACCTTAGCAGGATGTGCTTTCGCTGGAGCAAGAGGTGTGCGTCAAGGTGATCTCTACGGAAAGTGTGCACCTTAGTCGAAGAGAAAGAGATGGATGTGACGGACATGGCTAAGCTGTGACGAGTCATTGCTTCCATGTTCAAGCCTTCGTGCAGCAATGCACGATTAGATGATCGACTGTCACTCGCACTCAACGACTCCCTGGACCTCAGCTACTTTGAAGGCAGAGCCGGTGTTCCAAGAGCAGGCGCTGGAAAGGACTTGCATCTGATAGTTTTGCTTGGCCGTGCAGGCTTGGGCAACGAGACCTGGATTGATGCCAAGGTCGACACTCAACATTGTTGGGCCTGTACACGTTTCGGGTTCACCTTTTTGGCCGAGCTGACATGCCAAAACCCACCCTGCAACCGAACACCTTCAGGCAAGCGGAGCCTCGCGCCACAATATCAATAAGTTGTGTTGTCTGAACATGGCAGCGACGTTTCTCGCAAAAGTTGCATCCCTGCCGGTGAACACGCCGATCATCTGGAAGCAGTTGTAGCCTTTGCGCACGTTTCTGGATGGTCGTTTGCACGGACAGTACACACACTAGTATCTAGTGGCTAGCAACTTCGTAGTTCTCCACGTCGTCTGCTACTGCACCCGCAGCACGAGATGTGCCCAGTCCCGACACCACCAAGGAGGTTGTGGCGCCATTTGGACGATGCCTGAGTTGAGCGTATATCGCATGCAGTTGAATGCAATTCTCTGTGACTCACGACTCACGACTCTATCCCATTCAAGCACGCAAGCCAGCATTTTCGCAGTTTGCAGATGTCAGCTGTTAGCAGCTGTTTAGCTCTTGACTCGAAGCAGTGATTTTGAGGTGTCTTCCTCAAGGTGCCCTGTCCCAAAGCGGAAGCAGTCACTGGCCTATTGCCTGTGTCTGAGATGGCAGACTTCTTCGTTGAGCCTCGCCTTTCTTTCAGCAATTTGCATCCCTTTGACTCTGGAGTCAAGTACCCCTAAACCCTAAACTCTAAACACCTGCAGTTTTTTTCCATTGCACATAAAAGAAGCACTTATATTTTGGAGTCGAGTACAGCTGCGCTGCAAGGCAGAGCCGAACGACCTTGTGAGCGCAGCCGGGCTGCATCTCCGGTAGATTGGCTCTCTTGGTGAGGTTGCTGGCACTTGGAGGTTCATGGGGAGTAAGAAGTAGGGTTATAATTATCCCCAAATATGGGTTAAAATTATAGTTTCCTCACTTATATATAAACTACCCATGAGCCTCGAAGCGTTGTATCCGATTCTCAACTGCCTTTCTTGCATCCTTCGATAGTTGGGATGGTGGCCCGCCAGACGTGAGGGAGAAGGCCTCCAAAAGCATCTTGATGGCCGCTGAACAGGCCTTTTGGGCCCTGCCTTGGAAGCGTAGGCCGTTTGGATGCCGAGAGTTCCTTTGTTGAGTAGGCCAGCTTAGCTCACCTCGCGGTGGTCTTCCAGTCTAAGCATCGTCTCATAGCAGGCTCTCACAAGTCTGGCTTCGGGGGAAGCGCGCTTTTATCTCTGCCAGTGTGTACTCCTTCGCTCCTGCAGTTATCGAGGTGGGGGATGAGCTCCTGGTGCGTGTGATCGACACAAGGGAAGGCAGGGTTGTGGTGTAGGTATCCATCCACCTTCTTCTGACACACTAAGAAGCAGTAGGGCAGTAGGGGTGCCTTGTTTATTGGGTGATCCTACCATGTAAGGTCGATGCATTAAGATTCATTTTTCAAGCTCCCACATCTCCGCCAGGAAAGCTCGTTGTCTCTGCCAAGCCCATCGAAATGGAAGCGGACCTGGCACCTTTCCACGCAGTCGCCGGAAAAGATCAGTTCCTGTCAGGAGTTCCACTAAAGTTTCTATGAGAGTTGAGAAGTCTTAAAGAGAGTTCTACAAGGGCCTGTAATTTTTCTTCCCTGGGAAGATTTGGAAAAGAGATACATCAGGGCTTCTTAGAGGGAGTATCGACTTTCCCGATGCCTTCGGAGTCTAATATAGGAATGTAAGGACCTTGATATTGAGGGTTCCTCACTATAGTTATAGTATAATCTAGCTCAAAATTCTATTCTACTGATTAAGGCCCCTACAGTAGCATCTTCATTCCCTCGCGATGACAAGCCTTCCCCTGGAGGATCTGTGCAGGCTGTCTCGCCACACGGAGCATACGTGATGGTGCAG